TATATATATATATATATATATAATAATTTTTAAAATGCAATCCATACTCAGATTTTTTACATTTGGGTTTTGAAAAAGAATAACTTAAAAATGTGTCCATGTATTTAAGGGTTCATTAACACATCTTTCTCTATTTTGCACCAAAATTTTTAAAAATGGAAATAAATTTGAATTTTTTTTCCCCCTACCTTTAAAAATGCTATTGTACAAAAAATGCGGATCAATGGGAAAATAGGATGGATGAGTTCAGTGCTTAAATAATTCCAAGTTGCTTACCTGGGAAATATTTGCTCAATATTTGCCTCATCTTTAGAATGAAGTAGATAAAGACTCAAATTTATTATAGCTTTAAAATCTAATGGGTTGTTAGTGGAGTAATTTTAAGGTTAATGATTGGTGAGTAATGATTCCAAAAATGATATGGAAGTATATTATTTTCCTAACCTGTTCTTTGAAAATTTATCTAGTATCAATTTTTGAGCATAAGTGATGAGTAACAAAAATGAAAATACACAGTATAAAATGCAAGTTACATAGAGAATATGACATTACAACTCAACAATTAAGTGATTTATTTGACTTATAAATGCCTAGTGTTTATCAAATAATGCTTAATACTATATCAGTTTAACAGGATAACTCATGTGGAATTGTTTTACTTGGGCTTTTTTATAATTTGAGAATATAAAAATCTTTAAATAATTTATACCATTTTAATAATTGCTTTAAATTTATATGTTTGGTAGGAAAAGTAGAAATGTTTCTTAAAATGTCTTTGTGCCTGTTGACTAGGAACGTGAATCGCTACTTTTCTACTTTATCTCTCCTACAAGGCAGAAATACTTGAAAGCGGTTCTAACTCTAATGTCAAACAGAGCTTTGTGAGGAGTCACATGGAGAAAAAGAATTAAAAGTCAAAAGGTATAACCTGAGACTCCAACCTTGAGAACGTGTTCCTGGCATAGTGCATGATGCTGTCAAAGTCGTATCTTTCTCCAAGGGAGTTCACCTCTCCAGGCTCCATCTTCAGAAAATTGTACTCTTGACCTAAGAATCAGGGATAAGTAAGTTGCAGAAGGCTTTTAACTGAAATAAAACGGAATACTCAATAACTGATCTTGATGGTTGTGTTTGCACACCAACTCCAGGGTCAAATCATGTGCAAAAATCATGATTTCATTCTAATATTGTATTCAAAGAGCAATACTGGATTGGAACAAAGTTAATTTCTGCAAAAGCACACTCTTTGGTCACTTCATATTTTTTTCTTTAAAATCTACTGCTTATTCAGTTACTGGACAAATGATTATAAAAGTTACTCTTTTATCTAATGAGTTTTATACCTTTCTCATTTGACTATATTTGCTCACATCCAGAAAATTTATCTATTTGCTTTAGATCCTTCCTAAGAAACATTATGGAAAGATATAAAAACAATTTTTAGTGTAAACCCAACTTTGCAAGCTTTAACTACACTAAGGATAAAACACTAAAGATAAAATCTTTTATCTTTTAACTGTGCTAAAGATAAAACACTAAAGATAATAATCACCAAAGATAAAACAGAAACAACTATATTATCTTCAAAAAAGTAAAGTTCCCCTTGAAAAGGAGGTTCTACTTTGAGAGATTTTTTTAAATTATAAAAAAGTTTTAGAACTTAATTTTATTTCTTTTATATCTGTTATTTTAATTTTTGAAATTTTCACTTTTAATAGATTTCTCTACTGCTTGTTTGTACCATATGGTAACATTATTTCTTGAAATTTTAAAAAAGCCACTGAGATAAATATATATGTATACTTCTGTGGCTCCAAAGCCAAAGAATTTCTCCTGATAAATGTTTAGGTCTCATTGAGTCCATTTTCATAATTTAAGCCACCAAAGATGTGTACATGATATCACAGATGTGACTTTAAAAGCTCTGAAATACCAGAATATAAAAGTAAGCTAATGAGATTCATATCTAGAGCCCAAAACAGAACTCATATAAATCATATTGTTCCTATAACTAGGTTTTAATGCTAACTTCTATTTTTCTACTAAATATAAAAATATCACATTAATAAAAAGTTTCCAAAAGCCATCAAGACTAAGTAATGACTGAGTAATGCCATAAAGTATAATATCTTTTCTACATATGACAATGAAACACAGTATATACTTATTTGAATATTAAGAATGAGAAAATCAACTTAGAGTTACAGAGCTCAAAACCAAGACTAAAGTGTTTTAGTCTTTGAAAAAATTCACACAATAAGTATTTCTAAATTAGTTTATCAGCCTGTATAGTGAAATGTGTGTTCCACAAATCTCTGATATATCTGAAATACAAACATTCTCAAGAAGTATCCTGCATTCTCTACAATAAAGGCAATTGTTAAAACTCATGTCTTCATAAAGAATTTTCAGCATATTATAACATAACCCACTCTAAGTGGAGATTTTTAAAAAAGCTATGACCAGATTTTATAGCTACTGACCCATAAGACTTCAACGTAGAGCACTATGGGAACAGATTCTCTAATTAAGGCATTCTCTAATTAAAAACTGTTTCATAAAATTTTCTGAAAGTGATACACTTTCTGCAAAGCCCCCATAACTATCACTTACACACATGACACAGAGCTTCATACTAGATAAAAAGAACATGGCCACACATAGTCCAAATCAAAGAAAATAGACTTCTTTCAAGGAAGAAGGGAAGAGGATCAGCAATATAGACAATGAGGGTGCAACATGCTTAACAATAGCAAGCTTCTGTGTTGAAGACATACAATCCTCATACCAATTTCTTAGCAAATTCAACTATTTTGTACATAAATTTGAAGCCAAAGTTTGTGCTTATTAGACATTCCTCTTAAGTAACATCTGATCTTAAATCTCTGAATCAGGGTAAGTCATGTACAAGATTTTCTACAATCTAATCTCTCTTGGTAATTACCAATTAATATTCCACTTATAATTTACCATGTTGCCACAGTAAGGTGAGGTGTTTTTACAGCCTTGAAATTTTATTCTTTTTCTATCTTGAAATCTCTAGTTCATTTTTAAATTTGGTTTACTGTGACATCTCCCTTCACTTGCCAACTCACAATTATCATACTTTTGCTTGGTTCTCTACAGTATTCTCAACATACAACTTTTGTCATTTTTTCTAACTCATTTGCAGCTATATATATCCTACACTGAGCTTTGCATTTTTCAGGAGAGTATCAAGCCATGTCATGACTTTCACGACAGTATCTCCAAAACCTAACCCTCCAAAACCTTCAACAAATAACTGGTACTAAGTATGAAGTGTGATCAAAACATACTTTTATATTTTGTTTAATATTTTATTTAAAAATAAAAGTGACTACATTAAAAGACACATTGCCATAAATCCTCCTCAAAATACCCTCTTGCCTTGAACACACTTACCTCATCATTCTTGCCACTTTTTAAAGCAGTTGAGGACATTCTCATTCATGAGTATCTTTAACTGCAGTATCCTGGCTGTTGAAATATGCTGATTGAATTCAAAAGGTTTACCTCCCCTGGCCATTTTGACTTTAAGAAAAAGCCAGAAGTTGTATATTGCCAGATTTGGTTAATAAGATGGATGAGTACACACCATACTGTTTTTATTGAACAGAAATTGTCATAAATATTTGGAATTGATTCATGATGTAGTCATGAAAAGACTCATGAAACTTCCTAAGACTTCCCAAACTGCTTTGGAAAGTGGCAAGAATGATGGGATAAGTGTGTTTAAAGTGAAGGGTTATGTTTAGAGACGGATTGATGGCAATATGTCTTCTACTGAAATAATTTTTTAAAATTTTAATTTACCATCTTATTTGTTCATACCTCATCTATGAATAACGAAGAGATGAATGCTATTGATTATAAAAAATTTGATATTTGGAACTTAAAATTAGCAATGATCAAAACAATAAGAATACATTTGTACTTTTCTTATTCTTAAATTCATACTACCATACAAGAAAACTCCAAACCTTTTTCTGGCGACTAAAATGTACAGATCTTTATCAATGTGAAAATGAAACGAATGAATTTTGCAATGAGGCAGTTATCACTCATCAAGCTGGCAGAGAAAAATAGATTTTAATTATAAATTACATTTCAGCTACTGAAAATATTCATAAGGTTCCAATTTTAAGGCAGTAAAGTTTAGGAGGAAAAATCTCAAAGAAAACTAGACTATCCTGAAAATGACTCACTTTACTGGAATTTTCACCAGAAACTATACCTGATAAAGCAGAGATTCCTGCGCTTGCAGTGCATGTCATGACAAGCCCTGGGTCCTTTTACAAATCCCTATGAGCATGAAAAGTGCTTAAATTTAAAAACTGATTTCATAACATTAGTTTATGGTTCCATAGCTCACATCCTCCTTGGAAAGCACAACAGTTAAAGACTAAAACAAATCTTGAGAAGAAAGGCTAGACTTTACATGAGATCACAGTGCGTCTAGGAAACAATTTAAAATATAAAACCAACAAGGATGATTTTTAGTCTAACAAATGTTGATTCTACCAAATCAAAGTAAGTTTACATTTTTTGAGGCAGTAATGGTAGCTTGTACATACACAATTCAAAGACATTTATTCTGCCTTAACCTCAACACATCGAGAGGCCTCTCACCTGGCTGGATGTTTTCCCTTATGATGGTTACGTGGTTATCGCGATCTGGCCGTGTATGCTCGTGCCAAAAGCCTATCACATGGCCCAGTTCATGAACAACAATTCCAAACTTGTCACAGTTCTTTCCAATAGAGATGGCCTGAGGTCCATTTCCCCTCCGACCTACATAGGAGCAGCATCTGTAATGAAGTAGAAAGTGGAGATGGCGGTGGAAAGGGTGTCCTGTATAAGTTACAATATTGTGACAATTTGTAAAAAAAAAACGTTGATGAATTGGATAGTCCAACACAGTCAGGGGCAGAACAGCATTCTGTTAGTAAATAGGGTTGTTTTCCAGCATCCTTTAAGTTTATGTATAATAAAAGTTTCCAAATAATTAACTGAAACACTTTTGTAATTGATCCATACATTAAGAGTTAAGCCTCAAATCATTTTTAGAAATATTTAGAAGATAAATTAGAAATAATTAATGTGCTCTACAGTGGGCCCTTTGTATCCATGGTAACTATCTTGTCAGTGTGGTTATCTGGGTAAATCCAATATTATTTTATATTAAAAACAAAGTTTATTTTTCCTCTTTTAGAGAAAATAGAATTAAATTTATTTATGAAATATATTGATTAATCAAAATAAAAATTTCTCTTTCTACTCCTGAAGGAATTATAACAGGAGAAAACTTTTGAAAGAAATTTAAAATTTTCTTTCAGTTTTCCTCAGTTTCAAAAGATGCATTACCTAAAGTAAATAGTTAACTAGAGCTAGAGACTGACTGCTGATGTCTCCCCCAAGTTCTCGAATGTGATAGTATTTGGAAGTGAGACACTGGAAGTTGACAAGGTCATGAAGGTAGAGTCCTGTGCGTGGAACTAGTACCCTTATGAAAGAAACCTCAGAGGGTTAGTTCCCTTGAACCTTTCCACCATGGGAGATCACATGTCCATGTTCATCTGGGAACAAGGAAATGGGGCCCCAACGAACACTAAATCTGTACATCCAGCCTCCAGAACTGTGAGATTTACACTACTCTTGTTCGTCATCTGGTCTATGGTACTATTTTACAACATCTGGAATGGACTAGGATAAATATTACAGAAAAACTGACAGCTAGTAACAGTGTAAACAATTATTAGATTTTTGTGATTTGTATCAATTGTTCAGGCTAATATTTGAGTGCTATTTTCTTATTTCACTTTCTAAAAGGATCTCGTAAATTGTTACAATAGAATATGAAATACCTGGGAATATTTTCCCACAAATTTAATCAATTTATTGATATTTATACATGTTAATGATACTTTTCTATCCAAAATAGAGGTTCTATTTATTCATTTGTGTTCATGTATACACATATGTGTGCGTGACAGTCCAGAAAATTCTTATACATACAAGGGTGAACACATAAGACACCCATTAAATAAATTTTACATGTTATGATGTGATGGTAGCCACAGTTATAAATGACCACAAGTTGTATCTAAAACTAATAATTAAGGTTCACGTTGTTGTAGCTTATCCATGGAATTATCCCCCCTAGACAGCAATCGAAGTCACTGAGCCATTAGTCTTGAATATTGCTACACTAGTAATTAGACATAGACTTTTCTGATTTATTAAATTAAAAGGAAAAATGGCAAAAATGAATTGTTCAAATGATTAAAAAGAATTTCACTATTTAAATTTCCCCAGTACATTTGACAGTCCTTTTGATTTTACACAAATATAAATCTTGTGCATGCTTCCCACCTCACTCCCAAGCTTTTTCCGTAGGCTTTAAATACTTATGCATTTCTGCCTATGTTATGCCATTTAAATGAATTAATTCATATTCATTATTTGTAAATTTATATTTATTTATTAGAGCAGTTAAAGCTTAACAAATTAGTCACAGAACTGAGTTAACTGATGGGGGGACAGAAGTCAGTAAATGGTATCCTTTGCCTCCAGGTAGTTTTTCAATAATAGTTTTAATTCATACATAGGTACTCATTAAGTACTCAAATTTTTACTTATTACCTACCCAACAAGTATAAGAGAAAAACACATGTTTGAAAACTTTGGAGAGATTAAAACTGAAATTTTGCTACCTTAAACCAATACTTAACAAGGTGAAATAATCAGGTAATTATATACCAAGTAAATTACCCACAGTGAGTCCTTCTTTCTGGTTATAATCAAAAAAGACTACTTTGCAAAACAAATGCTGGGAGACAGTAAAGCAATGTGGTCAATGTATTTAATCCTAAAACACCCATTTTAAAATAATGGAATCCATAGCAATTTCCTATAATAAGATGAGGTTTCATTATGGAAATTGAAAATAGATTTCACTCTGCCTTATGCATAAGCTATTATTTTACAATGGTCATGTGAAAGAAAAAAATGTGGCACTTTGATACCTGACTAGGGGAACGGAAGAATGCTAGATATTCAGATTAACTGAATAACTAAATATGTTCTTTCTGAAATATTAGGTATGGAATGACAGGGTAACATGCAATTTGGAAGAGCACAATTTAATCACATTCAAGCACCGTCTTAACTTTCAATGTAATCCAGGTTTGATGTTATTTTCTTCCATAGGGCTCTTGAATTTTTGTTTCTAATTTGTGTGCTACATGTATAGTTTGGCCATTATAAGATCTATCTGCCTTTCAAGAGAACCTTTCATCAAATATTGGAAAATCTTGCCCCTCCTTAAATCATAAAGAACAAATCCAAATTTGATATTCTTACTTTAGCTTTCAGTTGTTAGGCCAAAACACATTTGAAACTTCCCTTGAAGTTAATTCATAAAGACACTCACAAAATTAGAATTGTTCCTACTTTTTCATCAGTTGTATTTAAAATCCCTCCAATTACGTAGCTTAATTCTGCACTTTCTTATAAAATGACTCAATTATTTATTTATTTAATTAGTTTCTGTAACAACAGGCCAGCAACACTGTGTCACCATTAAAATATAAGGTAAATCAGGACATAGATCTTCACCTCTTTGGTTCACTGACTGATCAGAAGTATCTGAAGCAGTGTCTAACATAGATCATGTAATATTTGTTAAATAGCCAGCTTGAATACTTACCTTTTACAACTTCTCCACTTGGAAGAGAAATGAATATCGCAATTTAATAGGTCCCTAATTCAATGTTCAAAAAACAAACAACAAACAAAAAACCTGTTCCACCTTCTGACTTCCCTATCCAAGTTAACTCCAGTTTCCTCCAGTTATATTTAACCCCCTGGTTTCAGTTCAGTGTGATGCCAGTATTTCTGAATTCTTTTCTCCCACAACAATCAATACTGTTGGCTCTGCTTCCAATCAATATCCAGAATCAGTCTACTTTTTATAGTCTCTACTGTTGACAATCTTGTCTAAGCCATGTCTCCTAACTGGTCTTTTTTCTCTTCTTGCTTTGCTACAGCAGGGTTTCCTCAGCTCCATGATATTTATAAAATGTCAAGTCACATTATGATGTTCTCGAGTGGCTCTGCGGCTCATTGTGTCAATGCCCAAAAATGTCCATTACCCTTCTCTAGCAGATGATTGCACTTCCCTACCCAACATTGACAAGTGGCTTGCTCTGGACAATGTTACAAAAGCCAAAGCTGGTGGTATCATTTCTGGAGAGAATCTTTTAAGAGGCTGCACATGGTGGCCATATTGTCTCCATTCCATCTGCCACAAGAAGAGTTACATTGAAAGAGAGGCTTCTAAGTTACCCTGGCTATGAGGGTAGCAACCCTGAGACAGAGCCACAGCAAAGCAATGGTGCACATGTAGTGTGAGTAAAGAATAAATGTTTGCTGCTTTATGCTACTGAGACTGAGGGGTCACAGCTATCATGGCATAAATTTGCTAAGCTGAAAAAAACAGGCTCTTTAAAGTCTTCACGAAGAATAACAAGAACATTCACACACAAATGTCTTAGCATACAGAACTCATACCTTACAACTATCCCTATGACTCACCCGAGCTCAGTCATATTTCCTCTCTGTTCTGACTTGAACATGCAGACAGGCTCTTGCCTCAGAATCTATTTCCTGTCTATACCCTCTGTTGGGAACTCTGTTCTCCAGACATTCCAATGGCTCTTCCCCCTTTCTTTTTCTAGTCTTTACATAAATGCCACTTGCACCCACCAATTTTGCTTTCTTTCTCCCTTAAGAGTATACAGTAAATTGTATATTTCAACTATGTTTTTCTTTTCTGCCTTTTTATCCTAGAATAGAAGCTTTTTGTGTGCACAGGTATTACCTGTTCTGCTCACTGCCCTATCTCCAGCCCCTAGAACTCAGTGGCCTATATCAGTCAGGATCTAGAGCTCAATAGATATCTCTTTGAAGAGCAGATCTCAGAGGGCAGAGGGAGAGTCCAGCAGGAGGCAGAGCTTCCAAGGCACTGGTTGTGGGGTACGGAGTGAGGGGTAAACATTCTCTTTCCGAGAATCATCCCTGGCTCTCAAGTTTTTCCATTGGTGCAACTCTAGAAGTTATCTAACAATCTTTCAATAAATTATTATTCTTGCTTAAGTTAGTTCATTTTTGTTGTGTGTAAATAAGAATCTGGGCTAGCAAGCCTCCCCTGTCTAGCTACAACTTCCTTGCAAAAAGAAGACACCTTCTATATAAGATTAAATCCCCAAAACTCACAACGTAAGTGACACAAAATGGAAATTCAACAGGTATAAGATAAAGACTGTTATCTTAATTGGAATAATCAAATAGACCAAAGTTAAATTCCATTTGTATCACAAAATCTAGAAAACACTTATGTAGTTTACACGATCTGTTTGGTCAGTTGGTTTTAGTAGCGATTAAAGGTTAGTAGACAGAAAAAAGTTATTATTTAAGAAACTAATAGAGTGAAAAAAGGAGTGAAATGCAGGATATTAAATATAAGTTTATATAATAATACACTAAGGTAATGAATTCAGTTACCTAAATCTCTCACATAGAAAGAACACTATAACCTCTATTATAAAAAGGTCTCACATTTTGCTGACACTAAATTTTTGTAATAAGTACATGCCACTTATGAAAATACCTATGAAGCATAATCACAAAATATAGCAAATGTTTAAATTAAAAAATACATTGCTGGGCCAGGGATTTAGCTCAGTGGTTCCGCCGCCTGCCTCACAAGCGCAAGGTCCCAAGTTCAATTCCTAGTACCGAAAAAACACATTGCTGCTAAAGACACACTGCCATTAATTCCACTCAAAATACTTCTCGTCTCTTGAAATATGCTTATCCCATTATTCTGGACACTCTGAAGCAGTTCTGAAAGTCCTTTTTCATGAATGTCTTTTATGGCTGCTTTGATGTACTAAATTGATTTAAACATATTTATAGAAATTTCTGTCAAATGAAAACTTTATGATGTGTCCTTATCCACATTTATTCATCTGATATGGCACAATGCAACTTGTGACTCTTCCCTGAAGTGAAAATGGCCATAAAAGATAGACATAAAAGATAAATAGATAGATAGATAGATAGATAGACAGATAGATAGATAAAAGGATTCTGGACATTAAAGCAACTACAAGAGAATAACTAAAGATATTCATGGAAAAGAACTTCTACAACTGCTTCAGAAAGTGGCAAGAATGATGGGCTAAGTGTGTTTGAGGCAAGGCAAAGTATTTTGATCATGATTAATGACAATGAATCTTTTATTGTAATAAATTTTTAAAAATTAATTATCCACTGTATATTTTGATCACGTTATATGATTTTAGGTGGCTCCAAGTATTTTGTGCAACACCAACTTCTAAAGCCTTTCATAATTGAATTTTTATGAGTTTATGTTCACCATTTTTATATCAAAATGATAAAATAATTGTTTTATAAATTGTGGCCAGTATTGATACTTCCAAATGAAATTTAGAATTCACAAAATAATTAAAATGACTAGCAGGCCAATGATCAATTTTTATACAAAGAAATATCCTATTTCTGAAAAAAATACTTTAGGACAAATTTCAAGCTGTAAAAAGAGTCCCAAAACAAATCACCAAAGGTCAACATTGTTACTATAAAAGTCACAAAAATATGTCTATATTAATACTCAGAATTTTGATTACAGGAGTGCAGCTACAGATTTAGGTATATTTGGGTCAAGTAGTATTTCCACTTTTCACATTGCTAAATTATTGAACTATATGTTCTTAAACATTCTTTAAAATTATTAAATTCTTTTAATGTAAAAGACAAATTCTTACATTCTTTTAGTCTGTATGAGGATTATAAACAATGTACAATAAACAATGTTTAAACTGTCTATTCTTTCATGATTACATAAATTAGAGCAGCATGTAGATATCATGAAGGATATGGAGGTAAGTTTCCTGCCCTAATCATTAACAAAGAAAGACATTTGACATTATCTATTATACCTTTTAGTCCTTATTTACAAAGGGGAAGGAGAAGTAGGAGGGGTAGGGGAAAGGAAAGAAGGGAATGGAATTAATATGAGAAAATGAAAAAATGAAAACAAAATCTTTGTAAATAAGGAGGGATGGAGGGGTTGAAAGGAGGCCAGGGGGAAGGGGGAAAAAATAAGAACCAGGAGAGATTATGTAAACGTGCAAATTTCCTATGATGAATGTCATTATATTGTATACCTAAAATGTACCAATAAAACAAGATTTTAGAAAAAAGAAAGACATTTGAGCACGCTGAAGTAATATAACTGTTAAGAGAATGCAAAATAAGAAAGGCTAAGTGTTTTGGATGTGTTTGTTTTACAAAATAAAAAAGGGAAAAGGAAAAGGCATTGATGTAAATACACTATGTATTCAGCAATATTTACACTAAGCTAAATCTATTCCAATTAGAGAATCAGAAAGAAGGAAGGGCAGCCCAGACTTGGACCTTTTAAATATTAAACAGATATAAAGGAGCAGGAGACATTTCAAATGCAACCAAAATTTATCCAGCCAAACTAGAGTAATTTAGAAGGAAACACTGCTTAATTATTAAACATTGGTTAATAATAATTTATGGCATTATCCAAAAATATCTAGAAAGACAATGATATATAACCCTTTGGAATGTCACTCAGGCAGAGTCAACATTGAAATGCCTTACTTTTTAAGTTAAATTATCTTCTAGGAAAATATATTCAAACAAAGATGACATAGACCCCACTCTAAGACCTTGTGAAATTTTATGTTTTCTGAATAAGTACATATCATTAGAGCAAGAACTGTCTTCTCCAAATTTAAACTTTTATGTTACTTGCCTAGCAAGCGCAAGGGCCCGAGTTTGATGGCCAGTACCAAAAAAAAAAAAAAAAAAAACCTTTTATTTTGGCTCTTCTACATGCAGTACAAGAAAAGGTATAACAATAGCAAATTGGAGAAAATTCATCATTCTGGAAGAATTTCAGCTGATAAATATAAATGATTTTTTGAAAAAGCACTGGAAAAATCACCATTTTGTAAAGATGGCAAGATTTACAATAAGGGGACATGGCTGCCACTACTTGTATCCAGGGGTCCATCACTAATGGATCATAAAGCGACAGGTCTGGCCTCCTGACATGAAGCCCTGTAAAGTAGTCAGCACAGCCTATCAAATATTCTTAGAAAAAAATAAACTGGATTTAATCACAGCTTTATATATAAATTCTAATTAATTGGAAATTCAGGGGAGAGGAGTTTGAAAACTTCAACCTTGAAAAGACTTTTCAAGTATGCAACATTGCTTGGAGAGCTGTTACTGTAACATGGCTGGATTATGGGATTTGTAGACAGATACGGAGCAGAAGCACCTGAAAATGGACATCGTAGTAAGTTCATCACATTTCTTAAATGTCATATCAAAGAACTTGGATTTTATTCCCAGTCCTGAATTTCCCAAATTGGCCTGGGATATTGATATATGCTCCTCATTTTTAAAAGGGTGGGATGAATTTTCTCCCTTTTTAGGTAATTAAGAATCATATTCAACTAATTGAATATTAATAATGGTCACTGGAAGACCACTACAGAAATACCTATTAAAATATAGCACAGCATTTTCACAATTTACAGAATCTTTTTTAATTTTTCAGAAAATATTCGTTATCTTATGAGATGGAAATCCGGAAAACACCACCGTAGGAGAAAACGTCAAAGTCCCAGAAAGGGTGATGTTGGTCTAAGGAGCACGGTTAGAAGTGAGCAAGGAGCTCAGGTGGATGTAACAGTGAAGGTGTGAGATGCCAAAGATGTGAGTGAATTGGAGCACTGATGTGGGATGGGGTGGAAACCAAACAACCTAATGAATATCAGTACCAGAAATTTACTGTGTAGATGTTACAGCGAGAACAACAGAATCACTGGGTAAAGATACTGATGTTCGAACCCAACTGAGATGACTGCAATAACTGTTTCAGGAGAAAGTACCTGTAGTAGTGGAGGAGCACATGTGTGATAGAGTCACAATTTCTGTGATCATGAGATATATTTATCTAATACTTACCATTTTCCAATATAAAATTAAACTTTCTTATGACTCAAGTACTGTGCAAATATTAAGAAATGAATCTTACCTATGGTTCTTGAATTTTTTCCTTATAGACATTCTGAAATCATTCCCTGGTTCTACTTACCCACAAGGTCTATAGGTGAACACAATGTAACTCTCTTCATCACTTCTTTCAATGAAAGTCACACATGTGTGCTTTTCCCAGTGTCTCATGGCCTGCTTGAACATGGCTTGCTGGCTGCCTGGAAAAATTGCATGACTTTAATGAGTGCTCGACAGGACAGTGCTGGCTCCTCCATGCGGAGGAGGCAGGGTAGGTCAGAATGCCACTGCTATCATCAACCAAACAAGACCAGTTTATAGCACCACAAATGAGTCACTGTTAAGAGTTGACACTCACTTTATAATCAGAAGGTTAAAGCTCACTATCTCTACAAATATGTGTGTACAAGGCTCTATAAAGGGTGTATACATTCTTCCTGTCATATGAAGAGAAATAAGCTTCCAGATTTAATGGGCACATTTGAAAGTCGGTTTAAAAACCCTAAAAGTACTTTAGACTCTTAGAACACAAGACTAAAAATATTTTCTCAAGCTGAAAGAAATTCTAAACTAGTCACCTAGGTTAATGGAGTATTTTCCAAGTTTGATTGAACACTGTGTTTTTCTGTTAATATTCTATACAAATACACACTTCTGTATGATAGCTTTTATTACTTTATCAAAACAGACACTCTGGGAATATCTTACCAGTGAAATTGCCTCCTATAACATAAGGAATAACACCTCCAGGCCATATTCTTTCCGTTCTTGATGTGGCAGCTCTGGGAACTCGATTTTTCTCATTTTGCCCTGAGAATTTTTGAGGTACTTTTCCCTTAACTGTGCTGTTTTGCTGCAAGCCTGTAGTGACATTTAAAACATTCTGTGAAACAGAAGTCCTTGGTCAGGGAGTCATTTAGCTCTTAAAGGACAAAACTTGAAAGGTCTTATTTACATATTTGTATAAATATGCCCGAAGTTAGGAAGAAATGCACTAAAGAAAAACCTTTCAGTTATATTACATACTTGAGAAAAGCATTAAAATATTTAAGTATTTCATGTCAAGATACTATTTCTGAATTATCTGTAAATGAATTTTGATGAATTTCCATATAACAACCTGCAGGAGATGGAAGTCAGGCAGGGTATAAGCCATAGGAAAAAATTGTTTTGTATTTTCTATCTTATTAACTCACCGCTAATTCACCCACAGAGAATAAAATAATGTTTAATAAAGTTCTATGGTATTCAACACTCTCTTTATTTCAACTAAATCCTTAATCCTTTAAATAAGGATTGATATACTATAGTGCAGCCTATAATTAGGAATATTACATTATATATAGATAGGTTTAAAAATAACATAAAGACAAATGTAATCTCAGCCACCTGAGACCATCTGCCATGTCCCCTGCAGTTTCCTCTGGATTCCTCTCCAGGGGGTTCCTCAGAAGTGACACACCACAAGAAAGGGTTAATATAAAATTCAGTCTGCCATGGAGGGGCTTCCAAATTGAGAGTCCTTTACTGTTCTTCATGACCTTCCATATTTTTTGCTATTGTTTTCTTTTTCATAAATTTACCTGATTATTCTTTCTTATTCATCTTTCATTGAAACTACAAACATTGTCTCAGTAATAAATGCTTTAACATAACAACTATTGAATGTGTGGCCTCTATGCCTATGACTCTAACAAGTCTATCTTTTCAATGTCCTGGAGCAAAGTTTCTTTGTTTAGGTAAATTATTCTTTAACAGTATGTACTTAAGGAATTTAATTATAATCCATAAATTTAAGGAATCTTAGGATATAAACAATAAATAGAGGATTTAAACATTTTTAAATCTACAAATGGAGGTTAATAAACTCAATACTATGAACATTACCTAATTATAAAACCAAAGTCAGTGTTCTGAATGCCATATATAGATGTTTTAATGGTAAAAATATTAACTATTTTTATCTAATAAATCAGTCAATTTACTATAAGTGGATCTTATATTATTTCAAAACAAAGAGTTATGATATTTTTAATTTGACTAAAATTGGATTAGCTCTATGCTTTATAAAAATAACTTCATGTGATACCCAATTAACTGGAAAAGGGTATCAACAATAAAATAAATATCTAATGCATTTTTAATAAGGAGAAAACTAAAATAACTTAAAGGATAGTTCAAATTGTCCCAAATTAAGTTCTAAAATTCCTTCATCAAATATAGGCTAACCAAATGAAAATGAATGTGACTTTCTCAGCATAAACTCTCTACAACACATCATAATGGTACATGTATTTTTTAAAACACTAAGCTGCTATGAGTATAATATTTACTGTACATCAAGTCAACCGTCTGCAACTTTAAACATTGATATACCAGAGCCAATTCTTCTTATCCTGTCTATAAGTTGATAGAGGGCCCCTCGTCTCTTTGCTAGAGCATGGTCTCCAAGTCCGCCTTGAAGAATAAGAAAAAATAATTAAGTTAAATTCAAATGTTACTTAAAGTTTTAGCAAATAAACAATTGTAATATGCTACAGTGATTTCTCTTTGGACATCCTTTTTATATGATCTTAGAATTAAGAATGTCCATGAATCTTTGAAGAGGGTAAAAATTCTACACCAACAAATGTTGGTAAGGAAAAGTAAGGCTATATCATGGGGGGAGATTTAAGGAGCAATCTAAATCACTGTATTTGGACATCGTGACAGTAGGGTCACTGTTGACAATTTGAAACATTTTTCTTTGCTGTGACCTTCACATCACATATTGTTATATAAAATGACAGCAAGTTATTCTGCCATATTGATTGCATTCTAGCTATTTTCCCTATGAAAACTGAATTTTCAGAAGCCAAATCAGCAAATGGAAATGGAAACATTAGAAAAGCAGATCTGTGAATAGTACAAGTTGAGCTCTAAAGCTTTTATAAATTTTGAATAATTTTAAAAACATCAAATTCTATAAGATGAGCTCTCTAATCACTAAAATTAAGAATATAATATAAACAAAAAGTCATAAGGAAGAAATCCAAACTTGTTCAATTGCAAAATGCATTCCATTGGAACACACAATGGAAAAGGAAAGGAAATGCAAAATGCAAACAGAAGAGGAGAGGAGAGGAGAGAATAGAGAAAATATGTCTTTGCTTGATCTAACCAATAAAGATTAGAAAAGGTGGGTTCCTGGCATAAATCAAAAAACAGAACACTTGGCAAAAAATCCAAGACCCTTGATTCTCATTTCATAGTTTTCATAAAATGCTGCTCCCAATTTTGTCCCCTATTTGTCCTATTATCCTAGAATTTTTTATGGACAAATAAGTGAGGGCCATTATTGAATAAGCAACCAATACAACTACTAAGGATATGAGAATAAGTGCAGACAGATGCATGTGCAACACCACCAATGGCTATGTTTCACAGCTTCTTCAGACTGACAATGAAAATCAATCCAGGAAGACAACAAACTATTCTCAGACTTTGAACTAAGCCTAATACCTGGAGAGCTAAAAATAAAACAATAAAACCTATTGCCTTATAAGTCTCTTAAAGGGAAAATCAAGTAAGTCCTTATAAGGCAAGTAGGTTACAGCACTTGCCCACTGACCCATAATCTGCCTAATTATTTGCATTACATGGTCACATTTTTTGCTATACATGTTGAGAAAAATTTTTGAAATTTTTGTCATTGAACATTTTAGAAAGATGAAGTCATAGTTAAATGCATTCATTCCTAAGCAGTTACAAAAATGTTTTTAAAGAATGACATCTATGGTTTGAAATGACCATTGTATAGCATCTATATTTATATTAGATAGGCCTGAAATAGATATGAATAGATTTATAAAGAGGCTACTTGTGAGAAAAAATAAATGTCTTTGTCAATATTAAGGCAATTATAAAGGTAAGTGTAATCATAGAATTGAATAAACAATGTTTCAAAACTATCAAAGACAATAATAATTTGTATATTTTTATTAAATTTTGAATAATTTTATATCAATTGAAATAAAACTCTGTATAGGTAGCTTATTGAAACAGCAAAAAAGGAAAAATGGTTGTTTCTGACATGTTCTAAAACACTAAATATGTACAAATTTTAAAAATATTTATGGAAAAATTTATACATTTT